TATCTTTTCTATATAAAGTTAGTCTTATACTCCCTCTGTCCAAATTTTTTTGTTCAATTTTTCTTTTTAGGATGTCTCAAAATTATATGTTTTTTTTTTATATTTAAAACTCTTACTTTTTTATTTTTTAAAATTATTTTTTATGATTTTTTTAATTTTTAATATTAAAAATCATGAAACTTTAATTTAAAAAAATTAATTTTAATATTAAATACATTAAAGTAAAGTTTTTTTTTTTTTTTTAAACACAGCAAAAGTAAATATAAGACAAACAAATAAGGATGGAAGGAGTATTAGTTTTGTCTTTCAAGAGCGTGTTTATATAACTTTAAATATTATTTCCAAAATACCTTCAAATTATCTTTACGTGATTATGTATGTTGCTTTATTTTTTATTTTTATAATATTTTTAATTATTATTGTTTTTTAACAGTAGCAATGCAAGGAAAACTATTTATGTTTATTTTCATCATATATTTATCTTATAATTGAAATTTTCGTTAAATAGAGTTATACTAATCAACCTTTATGGTTTTGTTTTTTCAAATTTAAGTCTAACCATTGTAAAAGATTATTCTAAAATTAAGTTAGTACTAATTATTATGCTTAGTTAAAATAATGAATTTTTTTTAATAAAAATTTCAGCCTATATATCTATATACTAGTTCCTGGATAATTAAAGTTTGGATTGCAAATTTATTATAAAATGACGGACCAAATATATAGGACATAAACCCCAATCTAAGGGCTTATTGGTTGGGCTCAAATTAACGGCGGCTTACATACAAATTGGATTCTTCCATGATGAATTAGGAAACCGACCTAATTCAACAAGTTTATATACATATTTGTGCACAGTGTCTTCCCACCAATTGATATTTCAATTTGCAAATTTCTTTCGTCTTTGATTATGATAAAGGCTAATATGTCAGTTTTTCAAATTCAATAGTCTGACTATTAACTATTATCATGATTGTGTGCCATGTTACCTTAATCTTTATGCCAATTTCTTCTTTGGAAATAGTAAATTGATTTTTTTTCAAGTATGCATTGTTTTGTAAATGAGTCTCAATATACCTATCATTGTTGTCTATAACATGTTCATGTAATAAATTGCCTAGCAACTATGCATGTCTTGTTCGCTTATTTTACACAATTTTAGTTATTCATTTCTTACCACATAAATTTGATGCACTTATATAAAAAGTAGATCTTTGTATAAAAGTTTCGCGTACAATATTTGATCTATTGAAAAAATCTCTTCATGTTTATTTTTTGTTAAACTTTCTTCTTTTTATTCTTTGGCATGCATGTCTTTTTGGTCTAGATGAACGGAAATTATATTGTGTTTTAACAAACTGGTACATATGAGTAGCAAATTCTAAATATATTGTCATGTTCCAATTTCTCTTGGTAGGTACTCCTTTCATTTGAACATGACAATTGAAATAAACAAAGAACAATGTTTTTCATTAATGCTTGACTATCTTTTCTAGAAAAAGTTAGTCTTATACTTCCTCTGTCCTATTTTCTTTGTTCATTTTTCCTTTTTAGGATGTTTCAAAATTATATCTTATTTTCTTTTTTGAACATTTAAAATTCTTAAATTTTTATATTTTAAAATTATCTTTATGATTTATTTTAATTTTTAACGTTAAAAATCATGAAATTATAATTTTTAAAAATAAATTTTAATCTTAATATTAAATACATTAAACTCAAACTTTTTTTTAAACTCCGCAAAAGTCAATATAAAACAAACAAATAGGGATGGAAGGAGTATTAGTTTTGTCTTTTAAGAGCATGTTTATATAGCTTTAAATATTATTTCCAAAATACCTTCAAATTATCTTTACGTGGTTATGTATGTGGCTTTAATTTTTTTTTAATATTGTTAATTGTTATTGTTGTTGAACAATAGCAAGGAAAACTATTTATGTTTATTTTCATCATTTATTCATCTTATAATTGAAAATTTTGTTAAACAGAGTTATACTAATAAATCTTTATTTTTTTTTTCAAATTTAAGTCTAACCATTGTCAAAAGAATTCTAAAATTAAGTTAGTAATAATTATTATGCTTAGTTAAAATATTGATTTTTTTTAATAAAAATTTCAGCCTATATATCCATATACTACTTCCTGGATAATTAAAGTTTGGGTTGTAAATTCATTATAAAATGACGGACCAAACATATAGGACATAAACCCGAATCATAGGGCTTATTGGTTGGGCTCAAATTAACGGCGGCTTACATGCAAATTGGAATTCTTCCGTGATGAATTAGGAAACCGACCTAATTCAACAAGTTTATATAAAACGTACGTAACCTTATACCACCATCGATTAACTAGTCGTTTAAGTTCAGAGAAGAAGAAAGAAAAGTATAGAATGGAGGTGAAAGGAGTGAAGCTTAAGGTCCTTGGGAGGGGAGCATATGGTGTGGTACATTTGGTGGAAACGACTTCTCCTTGTTCTGGGTTGTTTGCTGTAAAATCTGCACCTTTAACAAAGTCTTTTTCTCTTTCCAAGGAATGGGAAATATTTAAAAAGTTTATAGGTTGCCCAAATATTGTTCAATGTTTTGGTGGTTTCACGAGTTTTGAACGAGATGGAGGGTATTTTTATAACTTATTTCTTGAATATGCATCTGCGGTAGTCTCTTGGATTTGATGAACAAGTATGGCGGGCAAAATACCCGAATGTGATGTGAAGGATTATGCAAGAATGATTCTTGAAAGGGCTTGTTGACATTCACAACAGAGGATACATCCATTCTGATCTTAAACCAGAAAATATTTTTGGTTTTTTCCATCTCAGACCGGTTCCGATTGAATACTTTAAAGATTGCGGATTTTGGGTTAGCTAGACAATGTGGGGGAAAAAGATATTCCACAACTTTGGAATATGGTTTTCGAGGTACAGCAGATTATATGTCACCTGAATCTGTGATGGGAGAAATCAGTGGTGCATTGATGTATGGTCACTCGGTTGCATTATTGTTGAAGATGATTAGTGGGAAAATGCCATGGAACTATAGCAACCTGAAAGATTTGAGAAACAAGCTTTTGAATGGAGAATCACCCAAAATCCCAGAAAACATGTCAAGTATTGGGAAGGATTTCTTAGCAAGAGTGTTTTGCTACGGATCCCAAGCAACGATGGATGGCTAATATGCTGTTAAGCCACTCTTTTCTTATGCCAGAGTTCAGCTTTTTTTCGTATGGAAGCAATCTCCCACAACTCTTCTCAGCCCTTTCTTCAACAATTTTTGACGAGGACAAATCGTTAATCCAATCCACAAAGAGTTTCCAAAAGGATGACAAATTCGGACCAGAAGGAGATTTGGTTGAAAACTTAAGGTTGCAAGTAATGAAGATGGGCGTCTAGGAATATGGTGCAAATTGAAGAATTCAAAGGCATAATCAACATGCAGATGAAACCTGAAAAAGCCACCCTCTTCCTCTTGATTATGTTGCAACCAACATGCTATCAAAGTAGGCCTGATGTTTGTTTTTAGGCTTTGTCTTGGATTAATTTTTTCAAACTTTTTATTATTGTATTATGTTCTTTTAACAGTTTTAAACTTATAAAATGTTCTTGACATATGATGTAAATATTTTCTATATGTTCATGGCCATCCACTTTCATTAATTTTAACTACTTTTTCCATGATCAAATTGAGTAACGGCCTAATGGGTAGGGGTACTACATGCTAAAACCTTTCGTTCAAAGATCTTTTATTATGATTATTATTATTATCATTGGTAATATATAAATAAATAAATGTATATAATTTTTATTTAATTTTAATTATAAAGATATATTTTAAAATATTAAAAATTAATACCTTAGTAATAAACATAAAATAAACTGATTTGGATGAACCAAACTTAAGTCCAATTAAACCTAAATTTTTAAGGTGTTAATTAAATCACTCGAGCTATGAAAACTTTCGGTTAAATGTTAATTTCTTAATTTAATCAAACAAATAAAATATATAATATATTGAAATTGGATATCTAGAAATCTCACAGTCACCTCATCATTGAGAATTTAAAGCTTTTAAACCCTAGCATGCATACTTACATAGATAGATCATGAACCTAATTAATTGATGATATGTTCCAATGTTTCATATATCTTATTTACACACATTTGATGGTTATAAAAGATTTTTTATTGGCCAGTGATGGAAATAAATAAAGTTTTTTTTTTTTATGAAATAAAAATCAATAACATTTTTATATTTATAAATAGAATTTATAATTATAATAATTAAAAATCACATTTCGTATAAAAATTTAACCAAATAACAATCAACTAATAAATCAATATCAACTCAAAACAAATCTAATGTAAAATTGAATTAAATGATCACATAGGGTGAGATATGACCTTGGACTTCAAGATTCAACTAATAGATCAATGTTAACACAAAACAAATCCATTATAAAATTGAATTAAATCACATAGGGTGAGATGTAATCTTGGACTTACAGATTTTAAACTCTTCCTTTTATTATTTAGACCAATCAGATTTAATTTGTATTATATGATGCAAACTCTTTCTCAATTCATTAATAAATGAAAGTAATTGAATTTTTTTTAATTTCCAATTATTCGTCATTTTTTTTTTATTTGGCTTACACATAAATTATTAATTCAATTACTCTTTAACTTTTTTTTTTCTCTTATATTACTACAAGTTACTTTTGGTCAAGCATTCAATTCAACCAAGATAAAGAATACTTTTTTCTTTATATTTTATTTTTTCTGTTCTTTGTTTTCTTTTGGGTTTATTAATATCCCCTAAAAAAAGAAAGTTTATTAAAATACAAGAAGTGGAGTTCTGGAAATAAAGGAATTTCATATTTTATTGATGGTGATTTTTTCTATCTTTTTATTTAAATTAAAAACAGCATGCAAAAGCATGGAACCTAATGTGGTCCCTGCCTTACACAACCAAAATTCTTGGCCTCATCTCCAATCCCTATATAAACAATCTTAAGAGCTCAAACTCAAACCAAACTCAAAATATCCCTGAAAGAAAACCAATTTCTTCCAAAACCCTATCATCTCTTTAAATATATATATATATATATATTTCTAGATCCTTTGATTCCAGGTAAAGAATCTAAAAACTTTCCATTTGTTTCGGTGATCGCTTTCGTTTATATTTCTATAGTTTATTTAATTATCGGTTTCGGATCTTTGTTTGTTTAATCGAGATTTATTGAAGGAATCAATGAATGAATTGGATGCTAAATAAAAACTGGTTTTGGATGAATTTTGATTGTCTTTTTTTCAGATTTATTTATTTTGTTTTTGATTTATTTTCCTTGTCAGTTAATTTTTTTTTAAGGTAATGGAGCTGATTATATTATTTAAATATTTTTGTGATGAAAATCAATAAAAAAGTTGTAATCTTTAATGTTAGGAAGAAAAGGGAAAAATAAATTTGCATTGAATAAATAACTAATTTATTTGAACATATAGAAAATAGTTAGATGCAAAACCTACTTAATGGCATAATATATTAGTATTTAGTTGTAGTGATTTTTTTTTTAAAGGAAATTTTATTTTTTTTGTAAATGTGCTCGTATATTTTATGCATTATGTAAAACTCGTAATTTTATTAGCTTTTATTTTGCTTTGAATTTTTTAAATGAATAATATTGTTGTTATGCTTTGTCAGTGTAACTAATGTGAAATTACGCTTCTAATCTATTGAAGACAAGTATATTTATATTTGACATATTAGTTTCCGAAGCTCCAGCAAGTCACTAGCTTGTTTTATACAAGTGTTGGAATGAATTATGTATTCTTTACATGATTTCCTTGTAAGTTTTCAGTGGGCATGTTCAGGGCTTGCTTATGAGTTATAAGAATGGATTGTTGTTACAAATTGTATGTGTATCTATGTTGTGCTGACATATGAAGGTGTTTTTGATGAAGCTTGCAGGTGCTGCTCCTATCAGCATAGTTTCTAGGTGCAGTGTGTAAAAGTTTGAAATTTCTTTTATGTCCATCCAGGTCATTCCCTATTTGGGATCACTTGGGTTGCTTGAAGAGTATTGTCCTTCAGTTAGAAAAAAGATCAGACCTTTGTCCGACAAATTTGGCTGTATGTATCTTGGATCATTTAAAGAACACCCAGATTTTCATGGCTGCAGCTGGTTGCAACCTTTTGAGATTGTACAAGATCAGTCTTCTCTCATACTGTACAAAACTTTAGAAGACTTTACTGCTGTGTACACCTTGAGTTCTATCATTTGCTGCCTGTGACATAGAGCTATTTTGTTTTCAATTGTTGTTGAAGATGGCTTTACAGAATATTGGTGCTGGAAATAGCGATGATGCCTTCTACAGGTATAAGATGCCCAAAATGATCACCAAGTTTGAGGGCCGAGGAAATGGAATCAAAACGAACATAGTCAACATGGTTGATATTGCAAAGGCATTGGCAAGGCCAGCCTCTTATACAACCAAATATTTTGGCTGTGAGCTTGGTGCTCAGTCTAAATTTGATGAAAAAACCGGGACTTCCCTTGTTAATGGGTCCCATGATACTGCTAAGCTTGCTGGACTTCTTGAAAACTTCATCAAGAAATATGTGCAGTGTTTTGGCTGTCGAAACCCTGAAACTGAGATATTGATATCTAAGACTCAGATGATCCAATTGAACTGTGCTGCATGTGGTTTTGTTTCAGATGTTGATATGAAAGATAAGTTGACAACTTTCATCTTGAAAAACCCACCTGAAGTGAAGAAGGGATCAAAAGACAAGAAAGCATTGAGGAGGGCTGAAAAGGAGCGACTTAAGCAAGGTGAGGCTGCAGATGAAGAGCAGAAAAAACTGAAGAAAGACGGAAAGAAGAAAGGCTCCTCTTCTAAGGAATGCACCAGTAAAGTCAGCACATCAAAGAAGAAAGCTGGTGGCTGTGATGATGATTACGTTTCACCACCTCACAGTCAAGTTGATGAAAAGGAAGAGATTGATGAGGATGATGTGCAATGGCAAACTGATACATCAGTGGAAGCAGCTCAGCAGCGAATCCAGGAGCAATTGAGTGCTGTGACAGCGGATATGGTCATGTTATCTACAAATGAATCAGAAAAGAAAACAAAGGTGACTAGCAAAGCAAGCAACAATTCAAATGGTTCATCTTCACCAAGGCAAGACAATCACAAGGCTAAGAATGGCAACTCAGACCTTAATGAGGCCCTTGCTGTTAAGGAATTGAAAGCAAATTTGAAGAAAGGTGTTTCTGCAAATCAACTGAAGAAACTTTTGGGATCTCTTTCTGGTTCTGACCAGGAAAAGATGATTGCTCTCCTAGAGGCACTCTTTGATGGCATCAATAAAGGGGTTGCTAAGGAGGTGGTTAAAAGGAAAAACTACCTTGCTGCTGCCGTTGCTCAAGATGAGGGATCACAGCTGCTTCTACTTAAAGCGATAGAGTCATTTTGTGGAAAGGCCAGCTCAAGTGCATTGAAGGAAGTTTCTTTAGTTTTGAAAGCACTCTATGATGCTGATGTGTTGGAGGAGGAGTACATACTGCAATGGTATCAAGAAGGTCTGAAGGGAGAGAACAAAGGCTCTCAGATATGGAAGAATGCTAAGCCTTTTATTGATTGGCTCCAGAGTGCAGAGTCAGAATCTGAAGAGGAATGACATGGTACCTCTTTCTTCCAGGTGGCTGCTGCCAATGTTTGTGTTTTTGCATTTTTAAAGTGTTTTCTGCTACTAGTGAATAAAGAGTGGTGAGTGAGACTACTTTGATTTCGAAGTTTGCTTTAGTTTTTTCATGGAGTGTCTTGTCTAATGTTAGGGCTTTGATCCCTGTTGTCAGCTGTCATATTGTTGATTTGTGCTTGGACGGTTGAATGTTATTATCTACAATTCCTTTGTTTAAGTTAATTTCCATTCTCCCTAATCATTGAAGTTTGTAGTGTTTAATTTCCTGGTAGTTAATGATCTAGTGAACTAAATTACTGATTTGCCATTGGTGGTACTGATGATATGATCCGTATATCTGGAATTCATGGAATTTTCACGCTGGGTTCCAACTGGCTCTCAATGTGATGGCTGTGCCCGTGAGGCTGATGATAGAGAAGCTAAATGAACTCCCTTTCTTTTATCGGAGGTACGAGTTTATTTTTGTCAAAAAATATACTTGAAAACAAAAAGCTACTTTTCTTGTTTTTTTTTTTTTGGATGTTTTTGTTTAAGTACAATTTACTAGCTTTGTAGGGAGAGTGATTATAAAATGAAGCTCAATGAACCAATTCGACTAAAATACAAATATTTTCCCATCTTTAAAAAATAAATACACTTGCCTTTTTGGGTACAATTTAGGGCTCATTTGTATTTTATCTTATCAGGAATAAGGAGGTTTTGACTTACATTCCCGCTGGAGATTGCATTTGGATAGCATTCTAACGGTGCAATTAAAGGTCAAAACTCCTACTGTCCCTCCAATCTCTAATTGAAAGGGGAAGGATTTAAAAATGGCTCAATAGACTTTAGGATAAACGACTGTTTCAGTGTAAATTCGAAAAAATAATTATGACAAGATGAGTAAATTAATTGTTATAGTCAATCATCGTCCCTTCAATCTCCAGACCAAAGAGAGTGTCCAATGATTCAACAGAAGGCAAGCAACTGTTTTAGTGTAAATTCAAAAAAATAATAATCATAAATGACCGGATGAGTCAATCAACTATTATATTCAATGTTACCATTATCATTATATTTATACTTTGTATATTTTCTTACCCAGGGACTTACTGAAGTGAGAGACAAAACTGATTTGATTAAACCCCATAAAGAATAGATTTCCCTTTTTTTTTTTTTTTTTTTTTGTCTTTTTGAAAAAGTTAATGATAGGTCTGAAAGTTATTAAGAGAGAGGGGGGGTACTGAATAAGAGAGATTCAGTTACATTTGCAGGCATTTTTTTTCCATCTGCTGTTGGTTGCAAGACACCATTCTCCATTTCTCCATCCCTAGTAAGGATGACAGAATTTCTTGACCCTAACAATCTTTCTATGCTATGTTTATATTTACTATTGAATACTTTTGTAAATATACACAGTAGTAGTAAAATCTGCATTCTGATGAAATATGAATCCTTGCTGATTTGATGTTTGATCAAGTCACTTCTGCCATGCTAAAGATAACAGCAGCTATTCAACCATCATCAATTACATATATCCTGCCGTTTTCTGTTTTTTCTTTAGTGCCACAATCAAATATTCAGTTCTTCCATATGATTCAGCATACAGTCAGATTAATGTACACGAATCAAACGTGACTGTGGCTGCTGCAGTTGCGATAAATCACTTTCTTCATCTGATGCAGCGAGGGAAAAACGAGGATCCTATAACATAGCAAAGTCATGTGAAATTAAGCGCCAATTTAACTGGTAACAATAATGACAAAAGCAGTTCTTGAATAGCAGAAGCTTATAGAAATATATCTAGCAATAAGTCGGGTGATTCAGTATGACTATTAAGTTTTGGTGGTTATACTACTACTGCATGTGTACCTGGATATCATAGCTCAATTGAAGAAGTACAAAATCAAATTAGACTAAAAACAGTCTCTAATTGATTGCATTAAGGGAAAAACTGAATGTATTCCCAACCTGATGGTGTCGGCGACGTTGGATGGCGGTGAATGCCTTGACCATGATATATATAGGCAACAGAATCCCGATGGTTCTCAACATTAGTAACTGCAACATGAAGCCAAAGAGTTAAGACACTCGTTTGCAACACTGTGCCTAAATGGCACCCCCTTGCTCTTGTACAGATAATAACTAGTTTAATTACTCCTCACAGTGAACAATGTCAAAGAATAGTCTCCAGCTCCACTGGTTATGATTGGAAGAGTGTGGCGCAAAACCAGAAGAACCATAAACTGCAGATATGCATGTAAACAAATGACCTGGTTGTTAAAATGTTGGAACCAAATAACCAATCTAAAAATACCTAAGAAATTAGATATCAACAAAGTGGACTCAATGCTTTAGCATTTTTACATCTGGGCTTGTTAGCAAATCTCTGTATGAGAAGTATTCAATTATCAACTAAGCATTACCAACAGAACAATGACCTGTAACTGCCGAACTCTCGTGTACTAAAGCAAACGCTCTAAACAAAAAGATCAAGACTCGGAGATCATAGTGAAACATTTTCACCAGCCAAAAAGAAAGGCACCAGAAAAATGAAAGTACTGGCTACTTAGCAAGGGCACAACAGGGCCCATTGTCTGGCCACCTTACCTCCTTCCTAGCCATCAAACCAACTGGCAATCAACCATCTTATTCATATTTTTTTCAGAAAGATTATTTTCCTTTTAAATTACTTCCATAGAAGATTTTGTTGGGGATATTACTTTGAAAAAGGTTCACCTTGTTTCAAGAAAAACAGATTTTAGAGAGTTTTAATGAATACCATATTTATTTCAGTTTAAGAAAGGTATATTCCTTAAAATTAATTACAGATCCTCCACCCCTTCTTTCTCACACCATACTTTATAAATTCATCAAATAAACCTGAACAGTTTAAAGAGATATGAACATTCAATTAGAACCATGATGAGAGAGAGAGATGTACAATTATAGCAATGGCACGACAACATATCAGGCTTCGAGAACTGGGAGCCGAGTAATCATCAATGTCTGATTCCAGAAAATCACGATCAGTAGTAACCATTGCTATAAAATGAGAAGCTGATGGGTCTCTCCTGGAAATTTCCCAATTTCCTCTGAGATGATATCACAATTGTTTACTAATGAGTGAAGGAAAAACCACTCTATTCCACAAAGAAGGCTAGAATCAGGCAAGACAGATCAAGATATACCTGAAGTTCATAGGAACACCTCCATAATGAAATAAAGGAGGCGGTGCTGTATAACCAGGCTTATATTGCTGTAATTTTGCAAATATTCCAACAAAAGAGAGAAACAATCAGTTTCTTTCAATTTCAGGCAGATTATGAACTGACAAAATAAAACAACGGTTGGACCTGGTGGCAAATCTCGCAGATGATGTCGCCCTTTTCATTGCACCACCTCTGAACACATTTGCGGTGAGCATACTGTAACAAACAAAAAAAGAGTAGCAGAAAAAAGCAAGTTATCTCTTTTGCAACTATTCAATACAAGTGGAAAACTTTGCCATGACAGTGGAAGAAGGGAGAATGCCCTCAGTGCATGGAGGGAATGCCCTCGGTGCATTGCATGCTACAACACAATAACCAATTGATATATGAATGTAACCTACATGTAAAATGCCTGGCATTTTAAACTTGACCTAGCTTTTTCTTGAGATGCACATTTCCAATATTTATGTCAACAAGAAACTATGCACTCTCTCAAATTGCAACAGAGCTTCTCAAGCACACTGCATTTAATGGCTCCAATAGGCCATATCTGTTTTTCAGGCATTTGGTCATCTTCTCTAAAAAGGGAAAATACCAACCTACATGCAAGGTAACACTGGATTTTAAAATACAGATGCTCACTGATTTAATTGATCTAGACATAACACATTTGCCCTGCAGTGTCCCAAAATAACATACAAAGCTGAATGTAAGAGACCAGGTAACACAGAACTCTGAATCTGGAGAATGAAGAACAAATTTTAAGGTGATAGTTGATGCTTTTGATAAAAGTAACAAACATTTTCAGATAAGCCAAAAACAAAGGCAACAGTTCTATGAAACTACTGATGCTTAAGAACACATTACCATTTAGCAGTACATGCAAACATTTTCCAACTTAATTGCATAGGCAGGGTCTTGATCTAGCATCATTATGGAAAATAATAGGAAATATTACAGTTTACGCATAATTTTTTGGTACTGACATTAAAATTTCAAGTAAGAAGAACCAGTTTATCTACAGCTGACCTTCAAGCTGCCGCGGCAAGAACAGGGTATCTCCATGTTCAAATCTTCATCCTCATCGTGGCAAATCCTACATTCCACCAATTTACTTGGAGATGAACCAACATTCTCATCCATCGTATGAAATGAAAAGTCAATTATATCATCTTTGCTTGCTGAGGGCATGCCTTGCTGTGATTTGTTTTTACCCTCAATAGCAGCTTCAAGGGTGGATTCAGTTAATAGCCGATCCACAAGCAACACAAAATGATCCCCCATCCTTCAATTCATACAAAAAAAAAGATAAAAATTGTAGAAACTGACAGAAATTACAATGCATATTTAAATGACATGTAATCACATAAAACTACAACCAAAAATAAAAAAGTAGAAGTACCTTTACAACAGTTGAAACCAAATGCTGAATCTGCAATGGAAATAAGACCCTTTTTCATTTTATGGACAAAAAAGTTATAAAAATAAAAATATTACAGGACAAAAAAGTGCAGACAAAATATAAATTGAAAGTTGAAAAGAAGATTCCACTTTAAAGGTATAATTTCTACCATTGTGTTAATCAAGACATCAAGTAATTTTTTGCTTACTTGACACAAAATTTTCATATCCCAGAAGCCTTAAACAACACAAAACATAAAGATCTGCCTTGGTTTTCTTGGGAACCATATGTATTACAAGAAAATGCAGCATTCTTAGAAGAAAATGGAGTATATAAAAGTGGTTAAAGCCAAAATAAAGGTTGGATACAAATCAACAGTTAAAAGAGTAATCTTTAAACCACATCAAACAGAATGATTTTTAGATATATTAGGCAATATATTAGGCAGAATAGTAGAAAAATAAAGAAGGAAAAAGACAAAAGATAAAGGAGCCTTCAACTAGAAGCAGAAAGATATCAAAGATATGATACAAAAGCTGAAAATCCCAACAAAGCAAGAGCAAAGGAAAACATGATAGAAACTAAAAACAGGGCTTGAAAAGCTACAAGAAAGCAGATGAAAATTGAAAACCCAGAAAGGAAATGATAGGAGAACAAAAACCCAGAAACCAAAAGGCAAAGATTTTTTTCTATATAGAAAGGGAGAGAAAGAGACCCATGTTCCAAAAAGGCGTCAACTTGATAAATGAATAAGACTTAATTGAAGTAGATACAAAAAGATCATGATTGACAGAAGCTATTAATGCAATGGAAAAGGAAGGAAGAAAGAAAAGAAGAAGCTTAAATTACAAGTAAGGGAATGGAATTTTCTATTGAAGAAGAAAGCAACAATCTTTATCTCTTTCTTTGGTCTTCCTTCCTGGGTTGTTGTTTCTTCAAATGAGGCAAGAGGTTGAGTGTGGCCGATACCACCATCATTACCTCAACTCCATTTTCATGTCAATTTTCAATCCAAAAAAAAAGCAAAAAGAAACAAGATTCTAACGGCAAAAATCCCTACACGATTGCTTGCCATGATTCCCCTTAACAGGATTTTCTAGTGTCTGCATTTTTTTTTTTTAACTTGGGTGTGTGTGAATGTGTTCACCATTTTATTTTATTGGTAGAATTATCTCGTGCGACTAGGATGAATTGAAGTGAGATACTGCAGTGACGCCAGGTGTGCTGAATGCCAGAATATGCTGATGTTGTCAGGTGGGTTTGGGGCCTACTTTGGTGTGGAAGTTGGGACCACTCCTGAGCCTGGGGGAGTGATCATCGCCATGAATCAGTGGGTGATGCTCAAGCTCTTGGACCACATTTTTGTGGGGGCTATTTGTTTGGGATCAATGTTAAAAAAACATGAGGCCAAGATTATTAGAGTGATGTTGAAGAAATTTTTATTCCAGTTACCTGGGATGAGAACTTGAGTGGCAATTTGACGAATTGAGTTGGATTTAAGTTGAATCATTTTGAATAAAGAAAAAATAAGCCCAAAAAAATCTGAATATATAATTTTGTATCAAGTCATCTAAAGTTTGATTATTTCAAATAATTGTTACATTTCAAAATCAAATTGTTTTCAAATAATTTTAGATAATATGAATTAATTTTTTAAATTATTTAAGATTTAATCATTTCATATTCTAGTTCACATTAAACATATTCGGGATATTAATTTTTTTTAATTAAAGACTTAAGTGGAATTAATATCAAAGAGTGTTTTTTTGAATTTGAATCAATTTTTGTTAAATCTAATATCTTTTAATATAAATATATTAAAGATGTTTTAATTTGTTAACTATTTTTCTATTAAATGTTCATCTTAAAATTAAAAAGAAATAAAAAAAATTCATTTGGAAGTGATATGATAAGATGAAGGTATGTGATATATGATCCGAATTTGGAAGTAAAGAGAAAAAATAGTTAACTTTTTAAAAACCCCTATTTCACTTTTTTTTTTTTGGATAATTGAAATTTTATTACCAAAGAATAACAAGTAAAACAACTGCCTGAAAAGAAAAAGGGCTTTAATTACAAATTTATTTAGCATAGCATATATTTTTAGGCAACGAAAACTTAAAATGTGCTACTATTAAACTTTTGATTGAGATTTTTTCACGTTTAATAGCAACAAATTGCTAGTGTATGCAATTTCTATAGTGGCATTTTATTAATAATGTTGCTAAAATTTTGTATGGTGCAGTTAAATTAATATTAATGCTGTTAAAAGTGTAAAAATAGTGCAACTAAATAAAATTTTAAGAACAAAAATGGCAACCAAAGGTAAGATTTGTTGTGAAGATTTAATGAGATAAATGCTAATTAGCTTACTATGGGTCTTTCTTTTTCTTTTACCTTTTAGAAATTCAAGTTTTTTTTTTTTCTTTTTTAAAAAAATTCTTCTTTTGTTTCAATATTTTTATTAATTTTCTATTTTTCTCAAAATTTCCAATGACAGATTTTGACATTGTGTTTGGGCCAAACTAATTTTTTTATTCTTGGTCATAAAACAAACTCTGTTGTATTTACTAATATATAAAAATAGAATTATAGGTGTAAGAAAAATACTAAAACAAAATGAAAAATTCACATAACATACGTTTAAAACAAATTAATTAAGAAAAATAATACACATGACATGAATTTATATTATGAAGCAATAGAACACATAAATTATAAAATTGAAAATATTATTAAAACCCATTTAATTTTTTAAAAAGTATACAATTAATGGCTCAAGAAATTTAAAAAATGACTTACAAATTATTGTCACTTTCATAATCTTTCAATGAATTAAGAGAAATTTCATAATTCTTTTTTCATACTATTACTCTATCTCATATTGAATAATTAAAAAACAAGTGATGATTAATTTGCTAAATAATATAATATCTATTAAAATAAATGAAATAAAAATACCTTGAAAGAAAAGTAGAGGCTATAAGAGTCATAAATCCTAGATTTAATCTAAATTAACTACAAATTATTAGGACCTTTTACTTTTGTTTTTAAAAGTAATTTCAGAGAATAGAGTTGAATTGAGTGGGAAGCATAAATCCTAGAGTTAAGATGGATGATGATTAATTAGGTGGATCATTCCCACCATGTCAGTTATAAGTCCATGCAATAATAAATTACTATATCATTGAATTTTGCCACATCAATTCTTTTTCTTTTTTTTTGGTAAATTCCATTCATGGTCCTAATCTTTCATTATGATTCTACTTTTAAGTTTTTTTTTTTTTTATTGTGATAGGTTGTTGAACTCAGAATTTACTTGAACTCCAGTGAAAGTAAAACGAGTTTAAGTTATATGACTTGAATGAGTCAGAACTTAACCGCATGATTCCACACTTAAACATCTTTAATAAATTATTTTAATCATTGTGTTATCCTAATCATGATTCACCTATTTTGCATCTGTTTAGTAATATTATAATCTTTTTATCTTAATAATCTTATCCTTAGCTCTCAGAATTGTAAAGAGAGATAATGGTTTCAACATCATATAACAATCTAGTTTGTTAATATATAACAACATAAACTATAAATACTTTATTAAATTGCATGCTCAACATTGACAATTTTAATAAAGGCTAATTAGACAACGTAAAATTCACTGAAAAAAACCCCGCCCACAAACCAAAGTGATCATTAATATATAATTTTTTTTTTATTTTTTACGAGAAATGCGATCCTACCTAATATTTTAAGGGTAAATTATATTCTTTTCAATCAATTGTAATTGTATTTTTAAAATAATCATAAAAGTATTAAAAATTTTAGTTTAATTTCTAAAATTTAAGTAAATATATTTGTTTATTATCTAACTATTTATTTTAAAAAATATATTAACGTGACATGTGATATATGAAAAGATGTGATAATGTCACATGATACTTAACAACTGATGTGATATTATTACATTAACAAATAATTAAGAAATAACGGTTGAGTGACAAAATGAACGGAACTTGGTGTTTCAACCAGAGAATAGGTGTGAACCATGCTAGATTCCGAGGACGATCAATGTACTAGAGGAAGATGCAACCAGAAGATAGACATAATCAGAATGGAGAGAAAATGTTTACCAAAACGGATGAAGAAGTGCCTTTGAAAGAGAGGCCAGTCAACAAAAGCCTAAATTGAGTGATACAATGGAAGCCACTAGTTCTAAAAAATCTTACAAGCAAGCATTATTAAACGAGATAGAAAAGATGGTGATAGATGGAGTTCAAAATAAGAATCGCTAGGAGGCAAGTAATCAAGCCAAACACTGCAGTGCTAAAGTGGATGTAGAAGTGCTACATAAACTGAGCAAACGTGTAATAGGAACAGCTAGGGGTTTCCATGAAACAAACAGGTTGCAGGAAAATTTCAGGATTCAGGGAGTGTTTGATATCCATGTTAAGAAAATCTCTGGAAGACAGTTTCTGATCGAGTTTGACGAGAAAGATACCATGGAGGTTATGAAGCAAGGAGGCTAGACACGGCAAAAGGAATGGTTTGATGATGTGGAGTTGTGGTATGAATCCATTGAGCACAACTATAGAACGACATAAATTACATGTTTTGGGGTGCCATTGCATGCATGGGGATATAACACATTCAAGAATATTGCCATGCTATACATTGAGTTTGTATCAATGGATGGTAAAACATTGGAATTCAAAGATTCCAGTAGAGGTGCTATGTTAATAATGACTAACCAACTAGAGAAGATTGATGAAATAATAAATGTTTAGTGTAGGGATAAGTCTTTCCCAGTTCGTGTAATTGAAGTTAGTTAAGATATAATATCGTTGTTTTTTTGCTGCTACAATCCATACAAGGATGCAAGGAAAGATTCAAAACCTATCACCGGGTCAAGTGATGGACGGAGCAATGAAGATGAAGAGCCATGGGAAGCCGAAAAATGGGACATCAGTGAATTTGAAAATGGCGGCAAAGAAAACATCGAGAGAGTAAAAGCAGAGGTAGTCTTAAAGTCCAACGTGCAATGCATGGCTCTAAAAAATAAGAATGACATTACCGTCAACGTTAGTCCCAACAAACATGAAGAATTAGAAGTAATGGTGGGCTAGGACAACCTGGCTATTGAGGAGAATAAAGAGTAGAAGCAATAGGCAAAGAAGAAGCGGGGAAGCGGGGCATGGGGAGATAAACCACACTTGAAGCTCCCACTTAAGCTTATGGGAATATATTAAAGAGTTCATATATATATATATTGGACATCGTTTGAATTCAAAAACTTAAGTTATTAGGTTATTGAGCACATGAAATTGATAGACAAAAAAGCTTAAGCTATTAAGTTCTTGAGCACGTAAAATTAATTGACAAGGTCAACCTTGGATCTGCCAATAATGTTTTTCCCAGTAACATCATTGGGACTTGAATCTCTTATAACCTTGGTTTTGATACATTCGTTGTGGAGATAAATTATATTTGAAGCTCATAAAAGTATATCAAAGAGTCTATACATACATGTTAAATATTACTTGAGTTCAAAATTTTAAATTATTAGATTTTTAAATCTTTCATGTATATATAAGATATTTCATTCAAATTTTTTAATGATATAAAATTTTTTACTTGTATGTAAATCATATCTTAATCTTCTCATTCAAATTTCTTGATATGAAATTTTTTATTTAGACGTCAACTATATCCCAATAATACCTTGAAGAAGATGTGCGGGCCCTGTTGGAAATAGGAGCAACACTAGCAATAGAGTGGGCCATATAGCAAGCGAAGATAATAATGGTGATCGGCTTAAAGATTCCACAAATGGGTTGGAGGGAAAAGGGATACACACCGGTGATAATGGGGAGCTGGAAACCAAAAGTCAAAGCTGGTACCTATAAGATAAAAGCCAAGAAAGTTAGCTCTTGAGTATCTTGAGGATAGCATTCTCGAAGCCTTTTCAAAAAAGAGCAAAGGAAAACAAAGAAGGCAGAAACTGAAAAGGAACATCCGGGGAATGGGTAACGATGTAAAGAAAAGAGTTTTGAAAAAGTTGATAGCTCATAACCGAGTGGAATATAGCTAATTCAAGAAGCAAAAATGGAGGACATCAAAGAAGTTCAGTTATTGA